TCCCAGTGGGGTATAGTAAAGTCTTTATAAATATATCCTACAAAGTAGTCTCTCTAACAGGTTGAGAAATATCCATAATTTGTTTTTTGAGTCTTTAAATTAAATGGATCAGAGCTCTTAGGTTTTAGTAATCCGAATTCATCTTTAAGGAGAAACAAAGTAGAAGATCGGAAACAATTTCTTAGGAATCAAAATAAATGTGCACTGGAAAAATACTTTGTTTGAATACAAACTTTATGTCTTGGACAATCATTTCCATTTGAGTTCTGATTGCAGTTTTTCCAAGATGAGGCACAAATATGAGACGATTGGCTTGGAGGAGCAGGAATGCAATTTGCCTATCTCCTATCAAGTCGTCTATATGATCTATGACTGCACCAGGTGTTGTAAAGAAATTATCTGGAACTGATTAAAACTCTGGAGAAGAATGGGGGAACGCTTTCATTCTTTCAGGAGTGGTTCTTCCAGAGGGCGCGAGCGCCCTCTAGGTTGCATTACAAATGTGATGACGCAAAGGTGACCACTGCCACCAGAGAGTCACAGGGAAGGGGCCGGATTCCTCCCCAGGGAGGATGATCTGGATGGGACGAAAGAGACTGACGACAGGAAGGAAAAACTACTTGCGGCGGCCGACAAACTAAAGCGTATGCCGAGTTGACAGGCGCCTGTCCCCCGCCGTTCCCCCCTACCTCCCCCTTACCCCATACACCCGTCGCCTTGTGTCATCTTCCTGTTCGGAAGTCTTAGTAGGTTGCTGGGACAGAAAAGGGGCGCCTGCTCCGCCCGTCAGGTATCCGGTTGGAAGAAAAACTAGTCTCAACAACTTGATTCTCTCTGTGAAATGATCGGTTTAGCCGACCATCCGTCTCCAGCCGCGGATCATTAGGCAAGGAGGGGAGGGAGCGCATCAGAAGTTCCTTTTTCTGTTCCAACCACAAATCATATGGTTGTCCCTCTTTTCTATTCTACTTAGAGCCCTGTAACTTAAATTCCACGCTCCTCCTGGAATGCAGGCGGCGGAGCTTCTTTGAGAAAAATGAGCCCTGTGCATGTGTTTTGAATTTTTTCTGGGCTGATTTGTGATGATAATCAGTCAAGTTACATTTCTTGTGTGTCTTGCTGGGGGTGTAATAAACACAGGGCACTGATGACTATAATTTTCTGGGTGATGTTGCAATGGAGGGAATAAACAGCCCAGTGTTGAACTTTGCAGCTTGCTCCCTTCCTGTATGTAAATTGCCTTTATAAAGTGGGGTTCACAACAGCGCCAGACTGCAGCCTGTCGCTCATGCTCCCTTGTCGTCATTAGTCATTAGCTTCCAGCCTTATCAAGCACCTGGCAGGAAAGCCTCTCCAGTCTTCACTGGGTTCTGCCTCCAGCCTGCCTCTTAGGTGAGGAAGAATGAAAGACGAGACTCTAAAATCCCCGCTGAGAGGTTAGTAGGCTTTTGTTACTATCATTTGGATAAAGCGGCTAAACAATAATTGTGCATCTTCTATCGAAATAATCTATCTAGTCAAAGTAGATAGAGTATTAACTAGAACTCATCTGCCTCACAAGAATTGGGAGGGGTGGGAGGTGGGGGTCTATTGGGGTTCGGGGTTAAAAATGAGTATTGGTAAAGGGAAATGTGTTCGGTATCTACATGACTGAGACCTAAACCCGAAAGCTCTGTAACTTTTCCCACATTGATTCAATAAATAAATAAATTATAAAAAAAATAAATAAAAAAAAAAAGCGGCTAAACAAAGATGTTTTAGGAGTGGGGGCTGCTTGACTTGTGTGTGTGGGGGGAGGGGAGGGAGGCACAGGGAGATGGCATATAGAATTATCAAGTTAATGTTCTCAAGATAAGCAAGAGTTCTTGATGTTTACAGAAATACATGAGCAGAAATCTTGATGTAACTAGGCATTTCTGGGCAGTTTTCATAAAGTTTTCTCTCCTAAATGTTGCGGAAACAGAGTTATGGTAGAACATGGGGGAGTTGGAGAAAGAGGGCTGACATGAACAAAGTCATTATATGAAAAAATGCATGTAAGTGGAAGCAGAAATGGGCTAGTTACTGGGGTTGGGGAGTTCATGAACCTGACATTAGATCTGCATATCAAGTTTAGGTAGGATCAAGTGTTGTTTTGGGTTTGGAGCCACACCCAGAGGTGCTTAGGGCTTACTCCTGGCTCTGCATTTAGGGATCACTCCTAGAGGGGTTCAGCTGGACTCCGGATTGGCCACGTGCAAGGCTAGCGCTCTACCCACTGTACTATCTCTCTGGCCCTAGTAACAAGTGCTGCTTTAAACTGAGGGGAATTAGGGTTGGAGCCATAGCACAGGGGGTAGAACATTTGCCTTGCACGCAGCCGACTGCGTTTTATTCCCAGCAACCCATATGATCCCCAGAGCACTGCCAGGAGTAATTCCTGAGTGCATGAACCTGGAGTAACCCCTGTGCATCGCCGGGTGTGACCCAAAATGAAAAAACAAAACAAAAATTTAAAAAATAAACTGAAGGGAATTTCTCAGCCAGTCTCCAAGGAGAGAGAAGTATGTTTCTTTCTGCCGGTTTGAGAGCAAACCAAGGAGCAGTTTAAGCTACCAATCTCATTGGGGCAAATGAGGTGGTTGTGCCTGCAAAACAAATCCCTGCCCAAGACCAAAGAAAACCCGCTTCACCGGCTATTCTTGGCGTGACAGCTGTTATTTCCAAGTGTCTCAGACCAAGCAGGCAAACCCCAAAATGGCAGAGCTCTGGGCAGCAAGGGGTCATGGCAGGCTGTCCACAGCAGACTGCAGCAGTAAGAGCCAGGTAGTTGGCCGTGCACGTCGTGATAACTCGCTGCAACCCTTTTCTCGCTCGCGCGCAGTCGAAGTTGCATGTGGCTTCCCTATCAGCGCTGGCGCGACTCCTCGCGCCCCCGGGTCTGTCTGCTGCAACCGGGCATCTCGCAAGCGGCTGGCTTGCAGCACACCTCTGCTCTGCAGGGCTTCCCTCTCGCCTCTCCCTTCCAGAGCTGCAAAGCCTCAGAGCTGAAGTCTCAGCGTTAACGAGTCACAGTTGTTGTATTGTTGTTTGTCGTGGGGCGGAGAGGGAGGGTGGCACGGGAGAAAGAGATTAACTTTGTAAAACATCTCCAGCATCGCCACCGAAATAATCCCGGAGCGGGAGAGGGGATACCAGGACTAAGAAACGAGTTTTTAAGACAATGCAATGGATGAGGCTCGCGGGGTTTTCAGGTGGGACAGTCTGAGAGGGGCTCCGGGAAGTCCAAGGAGCACCTGGGGGTGCAGATCCCGCGTCATCCTTTGCTCGCCCCGGGTCACTCCAGGTCGCCCCCTGCGCGGAGCCACCGCTCACCTAGCTCGCCTCCTCCTCACGTGTTCTTGGCACCGAGGGGATTAAAATTGTAGGGGAAAAACTTACATGCGGAACGGACAGAGTGTTCTGGGCGATTGCTGGGGGCGGTGGGGGGGCCCTGACATGCAGATTGTGGGTTTTTTCCCCTCCTTGAGCGCAGAGACGAACTTTATTTCCGCCCCCTCCCCTCCACATTCCTGACCTCTCCCCCCCCCCCCCCTTCCCTCTTTCTTGCCTTCCTGCCCCTTCCAAGTTCTGGGATTTTTCAAGCCTCGCTCGGCTGGGGCCAAAAGCACAAAAAAGGCGTTTTCGGAAGCGGCTTGGCCGCGCACAAGAGCCATTTGTTTGTTTTGGGACCCGGGGCAGGAAATCTTGCCCGGCCTGAGTCACGGCGGCTCCTTCAAGGAAACGTCAGTTGTTCTCTGGTCGCCCTTGCTCGCCGCGCGCCCCTCGGACCGCTGGCCGCCCATGGGGGAGATGCAGGGAGCGCTGGCCCGGGCCCGGCTCGAGTCCCTGCTCCGGCCGCGCCACAAAAAGCGGGTGGAGGCGCAGAAACGCAGCGAGTCCTTCCTGCTCACGGGACTGGGTAAGCGCGCGGGGCCCGCACCCAGCCCCCGGCTCCGCCGTGGGGGGGGTCTCCAGGGGCCTGGGCAGGCGCAGAGGGGCTCCAAGCAGGGGTGGACGCCGGAGGGAGCTGGGGGAGCAACCCGGGGGGCCTGGCCGTAGGCTGACCCCGAGGACCACAGCTGGCGGGGCCGCTCTCCGCGAGCTCCCGATGACCCGGGCCGCGGGCGGGGGGCGCGGGGGAGCGTCTGGGGGGCTTGGGGGGGCGGTGCGCCGCGCGGGAGCAGGGGGAAGCTGCTCCCGGGATTCCCGGCAAGCGGTGGGCGTCGGGACCCCCCGGCGTGAGTTGGACAAAGTGAGACTTGGGAGAAACCCGGCCCCAGAGCCGTTTCCCCCGGCGCCGCCGGAGCGCCGCGACTCTGATTTCCTTTGCAGGGTGGAATCAATGAGAAAAAAAAAAAAAGGTGGAAAATTACCCGGGTTCTCCCTCCCTCCCCGCCCCCGCCGCCCGCGGTCCCCCCCGCTCTCCCGCCGGGAAGCCGAGGGAGGCTGATAACAGCCCGGAGCGCCCGGCCCTCCCCGCGCTCTCTCCTGCCCCCACCCCACCTCCCGGGAACCGCCCGCCCGCCCGCCCGCAGCTACCAACCCCGGCGGCGCGGGGGGCGGGGGCGGGGCCTGGCAGCGCCGTTTCCGCCCCGTCGCGTGAGCCCCGCCCTCGGCCCCGCCCCCGGCGCCGGCGCCGCGCTTATATAAAGCGGGCGGCGCGGCCCGAGCTCCAGAGTGGGCTGAGTTGAGTCTCTCGAGCCTGTCTGCTTCCCCGCGCGCGCGCGCTCTGGCTATGACGGTGAAAACCGAGGCTGCTAGAGGCACCCTCACTTACTCCAGAATGAGGGGAATGGTAGCAATCCTCATCGGTGAGTGCAGGAGTGAAACGGCTTCTCCTTTAGCGTACTCCCGGCGTGATTGACTTGGTGCTCCGAAGGTCTGGCGTCGTATATGCGCGTAGTGGTGTGTTTTGTGGCATCGGTCCAATATTATGCAGCCGTCTAAATGGTTTTTTTTTTTCCTCTTCTAATACACAGCTTTCATGAAACAGAGGAGGATGGGGCTGAACGACTTTATTCAGAAGATTGCCAACAACTCCTATGCCTGCAAACAGTAAGTTTGGCCGGGGGGGGGGGGGGGGGGGGGGGAAGAATGCGGAGGAGAAAAATCAGCAATTTAGTTGGAATTTTACCTGCCAGGGAAGACACTGTCCTTGTTGGTTGAGATGCTGATGACCTCCCCGGGAGCAAGGACCCTTTTTCTCTTTACATTGTAATTTATGTTCTTAAATTCAATTATGTTCTTAAAACATAAATTGTAATTTATGTTCTTAGAATTTTTAAAGAACAAGTCAGTTTGGCTTGTTTTAAAGGTGCAAGAAGGTGCAAGGACACTTTTTTGCGTTTGCCCGATTCACTCTTTTTTTTTTTTTCCAAGAGTAACTCTCAGTCTGTGTTTGAACCGGGTTCGTCTTTTCATGTAGCTGTTATTTTCTTTGACTCCTTGAGCGGTTGTTCCTATGTTAAACACTGGGGTAGTCTTTCAATTCTCGGGAAGTTGAGCCAGAAACGCTACCGTCGGTGCGGGTGTGCCCTCTGGTGGTGAGTTGGGAAGCGCTAAATTCTCCGTTCCTTCTCCGCAGCCCTGAAGTTCAGTCCATTTTGAAAATCTCCCCACCGCAGGAGCCTGAGCTTATGAATGCCAACCCTTCTCCTCCAGTAAGTAGTCTCTCTTTGTTTTGACATATGTGGAGGAATCTTGTAAATGATTAGTCAGTATTCCTGCATTGATTAATTGAAAGAGCATTTCTAGAGGTTAGTGTCAAGGCAGGAATGCCTGCGACATGGCATAATAAGTGACATAAGCACTTAAGTATTGAGTCAGTGGAGTATTTTTGAAAACATATTGCATAAATTTTTATCTGTTTACAACATGATTGTGTATGTTTTCATTACCCTTTTTTCAAATATTGACATGTGTGATGACAAATAATTTTAAGGGTGTCATCTCTTTTTACGTTTTCTGAATCTTCTTATTTTTCTTTTCCTTTGAGAAGCTATGATATTAAGGGTTTGTTTGTTTTTTTTTTCTCTTCCCTAGCCGAGTCCTTCTCAACAAATCAACCTTGGCCCATCATCCAATCCTCATGCTAAACCATCCGACTTTCACTTCTTGAAAGTGATTGGGAAAGGCAGTTTTGGAAAGGTAAATTGCAAATCTCAAAAACCTCATTTTTGTGGTGCACTTGCTCATATCCTTGAATGTGGGTAACTGATGATTTTTTTTTCCCTTGAAACTTCAGGTTCTTCTGGCAAGACACAAAGCAGAAGAAGCATTCTATGCTGTTAAAGTTTTGCAGAAGAAAGCTATCCTAAAAAAGAAAGAGGTATGAGTTGTACTTCATGGGTTGGGGTGGAGCTAGCCCTTCATTGAATAATATCCTTTTTTTTTTTTTTTTGGTGCCAAGTTGAAATTTGCCACTAATGCTTAATTGTCCATTTTCTAGGAAAAGCATATTATGTCGGAGCGGAATGTTCTGCTGAAGAATGTGAAACACCCTTTCCTGGTGGGACTTCACTTCTCTTTCCAGACTGCTGACAAATTGTATTTTGTCCTCGACTACATTAATGGTGGCGAGGTGAGCACGGCAACAGGAGCGGGCCTAACCTCTAACCTTTGCATCTCTGTGCTCAACCTCTTTGTTTTTGAGAAGAAAAATTTTAAATGCTGCTCAGGGAGGAAAAGTTACCAGGATTAGCTTTTCCTGTCATTTGCCAGATTTCAAATAGTTAAAAAGACTATTTAGGGCCTTTTCCTGCGATTGTTCTCTTTAGCTATATATGTCAAGATTAATCAAATGTATTGTTAGCTGCCTTTGGCAGCCCAGACTAACATTGGTTCTGTCTCTCCTGCAGTTGTTCTACCATCTCCAGAGGGAGCGCTGCTTCCTGGAACCACGGGCCCGCTTCTATGCTGCTGAAATAGCCAGTGCCTTGGGTTACCTGCACTCCCTGAACATTGTTTATAGGTGAGCTTGCACGTGCTGAAAGTTACCCTCCTGGATAGCCTTTACTGGGGCCTAAAAATAATTTGGATCTTTCTCTAACTCAGTCACCTAAAGCCAAATCCCTAGCATGTGAGCTGCCTTATAAACGCGAGGCCACTAGGGAATGAGATGGCTAGGCCTGTACCAGATTCAGAGTAGAATACCAGAACAAGGATTCCCATATTCACTGTACAACTCCTATGAGTTTAAGTTGCTTCTAATAACCCTAGCAAATTACCTTTCCAAAGGATTTTTTACAAAGTGAAATTAAATTATGCAACTAATTTCCTATTCATTTTTTTTTCCCAGAGACTTAAAGCCAGAGAATATTTTGCTGGATTCCCAGGGACACATTGTCCTGACTGACTTCGGACTCTGTAAGGAAAACATCGAACACAACGGCACAACATCCACCTTCTGCGGCACGCCTGAGGTAGGTGCCCCCTCCCCAGAGATCCTTTCAACTACAGAATCAGTGAACTGTGCCAGAGATTTCTTAGCCCAAATTTAGTACCAGTCAATACATCTGCTTAATACAGCATGAAAAATCCCAAGACCTTATTTTGCTTTCATTAAAATGAGTGGCAGTTGTGTTTTGTTTTTGTTTTGTTTTTGGCAAGATCCATGTCATAAAGGTGTCTGATCTCCAAGTAGTAGATGCCTCTTGGGTGCCCCTTAGCTTCCTAAGCATCACTCCTTATCAGTGGACCTGGGATGTTACAGCCCTTCTGAAAACATAGCTATGCCTGGGATGGCCTACTTACGAACTCTACGACTAACACTTTACCTTGTCTCTCTTTCAGTACCTTGCACCTGAGGTGCTTCATAAGCAGCCTTATGACAGGACCGTGGACTGGTGGTGCCTGGGTGCCGTTTTATATGAGATGCTCTACGGCCTGGTGAGTAGCTGATTGAGAATTAGAGAATATTGCCCTGAAACATGTAGAACATTAATTAGTCTTATAACCAAGACATATCTGTGCACTTATGCCCCATGGTAGAACTGGCCATTATCTTGCCCATAGAGTACCTCATCAGACGTTGATGAGGAAAACAAATTAGGGTTTGTTTTTTTTTTTGGTTTTTTTTTTAACTTTCCCAGATTTTCTTTTTGCAAATTCACATCTGACTAGATCTGTGCAGATTTTACATAGTATGAGTGAAAAACAAGTATCAGCATCAGGTGCTGGAGTGATAGCATAGTTGGTAGGGCATTTGCCTTGCAGGTAGCTGACCCAGGTTCAATTTCCAGCATCCCATATGGTCCCCCGAACAGTGCCAGGAGTAATTCCTGGGTGCGTGAGACAGGAGTAGCCCCTGAGCATCGCAGAGTGTGACCTGAAAAGCAAAAAAAAAAAAGGTGCATCAACCTCCTAATAAAGGTTGAAGGTAGACCAAAAAATGAAGAACTTGGGGCTAGGAATATGGGTCTAGCATTGAGACTTTGAGTGTGCAAGGTCATAGGTAGAACTACCACAGCAATTTGAAAAAACAATCTCAAACACCATTGGCTGTGGCCCCCCCCTAAAAAATGACAAGGGCAAAGAGAATATTAAGGAAAAAACTATCAAATTTCAAATGCAGCCAGATAAATTGCAGTTTGAATCTTTTTTCTGATGGTAATATGTGCTCTACCGTTTCCTCCTTTCTTCCAGCCTCCATTTTACAGTCGAAATACTGCTGAAATGTATGACAACATTTTAAACAAGCCTCTCCAGTTGAAGCCAAATATTACAAACTCTGCAAGACACCTCCTGGAGGGCCTCCTGCAGAAGGACAGGACAAAGAGACTGGGTGCCAAGGACGACTTTGTAAGTCATCTTTTCCGCTCTTCTGGGCTGTCGGGAACACAGAGTTGAACCTCACTCACTGCCCTTCAAATCCCACTTGTCTAAATTCATCTCCGGTTTCTTCTCAACAGATGGAGATTAAGAGTCACGTCTTCTTTTCCCTAATTAACTGGGACGATCTCATTAATAAGAAGATTACTCCTCCCTTTAACCCAAATGTGGTAAGTTAACCGTTCTAAGTATAGGGAGGCCCAAGGGACTTTTAAGTTACAGTTGCCGTGGCTGTGTGAGGACTACCTCCCAATATGAATTGGTAGAGGTGTTATTTATTGGTTTCACCTAAGTCCAACTTAATTCACTCGTTGTTTTGAGTTCTTGGTTCCACAGGACCAGAGGGCAATGCAAAACATTGTCCTCACTTAAACTTTGTCTAGCCTCAGGCTTGTGCTTATAATGGACAGTTATTATGGTAGTTTCCATAGTACGGCTGGGGATAAAGTTGAGTGCTAGGATTTAGAGCCTGAAGGAGAATTTCCCTGCCCTGTGCCCAATAGGGATTCTTGATACCAGTGTTGTTTTCTTTTCCTGCACTGTAGAGCGGCCCCAGCGACCTGCGGCACTTTGACCCAGAGTTTACCGAGGAGCCAGTCCCCAACTCCATCGGCCGGTCCCCCGACAGCATCCTCCTCACCGCCAGTGTCAAGGAAGCCGCGGAGGCCTTCCTGGGCTTCTCCTACGCCCCGCCTGTGGACTCCTTCCTCTGAACAGTCTGGGGCATGGTTGCAAAGGATTTTGTGTGTGTGTTCAGATATTTGAGTTAGCGTTCATGGCGGAGCTGCCAGCTGACAGGACATCTTACGAGAGAATTTGCACATCTCTGGAAGCTTGCACATTTTGGCAATCTTAATTGCGCACTGTTTGCTGGAAGCTTTTTCGAAGAGCACATCTTCCTCAGTGAGCTCACGAGGTTTTCATTTTTCTTCTTCCTTCCAACGTGGTGCTATCTCTGGAATGAGCATCCATCCGAGGGCCGCCTTAGACAGATGCAGTGGTCTTGTTAGGAGATGCTGCTTGGAGAAAGATCTTCTGAAAGGTCTGTCTGGGCCGTGATAAAGAATCTTATGAAATGTGCCTTTTCTGATGAGATCATGTTAGCTCCAAAGCTTTATCCTCTATTGCAGAGTGTTTGTTTCAGTTCTTTATTTTCCCTTGTGAACTTGGTGTGTAAACAGCGGTATGAGTGCAGTGGCCTGATCACTGATGGATTTCCATATGAGCATCAATGTGACGCTTGCGGGGACACTACAATGTGCGACATTGTTTGTTTCTTCCATATTTGGAAGATAAATTTATGTGTAGACTGTTTTCTGTTTTTTTGTAAGATATAGTTAACTAAAATTTATTGAAATGGTCTTGCAATGACTAGTATCCAGATGCTTAAAGAAAGCATTGCTGCTACAAATATTTCTATTTTTAGAAAGGGTTTTTATGGACCAATGCCCCAGTTGTCAGTCAAAGTCTGGTGTTTTCATTGTTTAAAATGTCACCTGTAAATGGGCATTATTTATGGGGTTGTTTTTTTTTTTTTTTTGCATTCCTGATAATTATATGTATGATATAAAGGAAGTCTGTACATTGGGTTATAACACTAGTATATTTAAACTTACAGGCTAAATTTGTAATGTAAACCACCAATTTAATGTACTGTAATTAACATAGATATAATATGTACAATACCCCCTTCCTACCACACAACTTTTTTTGTGTGCGATAAACCAATTTTGGTTTGCAATAAAACCTTGAAAAATATTTACATAAATTGTGTCATGTGTGTTGTGTTTATGTCAGTTAAGGGGATAATTATGAGCCCCTTTAAAATTGAAAACCAAGAAACACCACAGTATTTTCCAACAAATATTCCCAATAGCAGTTGCTTCTTACACAAGGGGAATTTAAGGATATCAAAGCAGTTTATATTCCAGGTCTTGTTGGCAGCATTTTGTAGTGTCATTCATACATGCATCTAAACAAACCTTATTCAATGTACCTGTCTTGCAAGGACAGACTTGAAGTGATGTTCCTTATTTTTATTCCCCACCCTGTGAAGTTGACTCTTCTGACATCAGGCTTGTCTGACTAACAGGCAGTTCAACAAATAGTGGAATGCATACACTGGGCCAGTGTCTATTCTAAGTTCTGGGGGTTGAGCTGTGACGAATGCAGTTCTGTGTCTCTAAAAGAGTCTAATGGAAAAAGCAAGCTTTTTCAATAAAGCTCTTTGACATAGCAGTGCAAGTGGTGGAAAATACCACCAATGGAGACTTAGAATATTTATCATAAGAAGATGTCATTAATAAGAAACATCTGGTATAGAACTTTACATTTCGGAGAATACCCAAGGCTGTTTTGAGTCCAGTGCTAGCCCACAGAAAAACCAGAGGGAAACTTTTCAGCCAAGGTGCGTCCCCTCAAGGGTTGCATGAGCTCAGCAAAGGACCTGACAAGCAAAGGGGGTTCTTACAACTCATTGGAATATTTATTATGCCAGAAGGGCCCTCCCGTTGATCATCGATTTGCTCGAGCGGGCCCAGTAACGTCTCCATTAGAGACTTTGTTGTTACTGTGTCTGGCATATCGAATACGTCACGGGGAGCTTGCCAGGCCCTGCCGTGCGGGCGAGATACTCTCGGTAGCTTGCCGGGCTCTCCGAGAGGGGCAGAGGAATCGAACTCGGGTCGGCCATGTTGGCTGCGTGCAAGGCAGACGCCCTACCCGCTGTGCTATGTTGGAAGAATAGTAGATCATGTGTCCAATTAAGAGTTTTTTTACACTTATTTCTAGGATCCCTTAAAGTTGAGCTTGCTGCTGTGTTTAGCATCTCTATCTCCTGCATACCCTCCTCTCTGCTTGCACAGCAATTTTCCCCCAGGGAAAGTTGTGATCTTGCTCCCTTTCATCATGGATCAAGGTTCTTAGAACTCATCTCACCCCACCTAACCATACATTACAAGGAATGAACAGGATATTGAGTTCTTGCCCCTTCACAATCTAATAACGCAAAGGGTCAAGTTAAGTCAATGACTACTTACAGAAGCTGAGTTGCAACTACTGCAGAGGCATTAATTAGATATTTTTTCAGACTTAAACCTTTTTTCATTTCATATAAGTAAAAAAATAATTCAAATGTGCATTTACATATACAAATGTAATCAACAATCACATTATGATGATATAAATGACTTCTACCTTATTTTATTTATTCTAATTATTCTAATCACTTTCAGTGACTTTTCTCACATAAATTGTGAATTGTAGGATTACTGTGTCCAATGTCAAATGAAAGGACTGATGTTGATGGGAATATTTTGTATTTTTGAATCTTGAGTATGATTTGCTTTTTTATGTTAAACTATTTCTAGTTTATAGAATGTTTTAATAAGGAATTGATTTGAAATTGTGTTAAATATTCTAGATGTCAATAAAATAATTGCACTTACTTTTCCTTTGATCTACTGATGAACTGAGTTAGGAATTGCTCACATGGAGTCTGCCTGATTTTTTTTTTTTAATTCTGGTGTACCTCACAAGAAATTCTTTTTTTTTTTTTTAATTGAATTGCCATGAGATACACAGTTACAAGGTTGTTCATGCTTGGGTTTCAATCATACAATATTCCAATACCCATCCCTTCACCAGTGTACATTTCTCACCACCAATGTCCCCAGTAACCCTTCCCTGCCCCCAGCCTGCCTCTATGACAAGCACTTTTCTTCTCTCTCTCTCTCTTTCTCCTTCCTTCTCAACATTTTGCTTATACTATAGGTACTAAGAGGTTATCATGTTTGTTCCTTTACCTACTTTTAACACTCAGTTCTTGTCCAGAGTGATCATTTCCAATAAGAATGGTCTTACTAGTCCCTTCTTTATCTTAACTGCCCTCCCCACGTCCTTCCACTTTGGTCATCTTCCATCCTTGGATGGAATTAAATTGAATCTCCTAACAAAGTCAAATGCCAAAATAAGACTGTCATGACCAAAAGAATCTAAAATCTGTCTTTCCTCCTAAAAACCGATGCAACTACTGATAGTAGAGACTTCTTTTTACTTCTCATCATTCTCACTATGAATAACACATAGGAAACTCTATTTGGACACAGCCTACTAGAATCACGTTAAGATCTGAACACAGTTCTTGCATCCTGGGAACTGCCAATCAAATCATAGATAAGAGTTATATATGGCAAAGCTTTCCAACTTTCAACGGGTAAGGATGATGGTTTATTGGGTTACAGTCAATCACTAAATAAGATCCAGCCTGCATTGCTTTATAACTGAAAATACTAGAGGAGCCCCATGTATTGTCACAAATGGGAGGAGATTCAATCAAATACATGTGGGTGGGAAGGGAACAAGACAAGAACAGGGAAGTCCAGAAAGAACAAGGAATCAACTTTAAAAGGCAAATATTTACAAAGCACTGGGATATCAAGTGGTATATGTGCCGAGGAATCTTTTATCTATGAGACTTGGGCACATCCCTGGTTGTGCTCAGCCTTCCAAGCCTGACGGCTGGAAAAGGGCACAACACATTTTATGGTCATGGTCTGCTTTTTAAAAATAGGTTTGTGAGAATTTATTCTGCTACGACCTCACAAATTAAAATGCGTATCAGAAACCACTGCCAGCATCAGGAATAAGTTAATGCTTAAACAATTTTTAAGCTATTCGGGACATGACACCTTCCTTTTGGTAATAATGTGTAGTCAAGATGAGGGATAAAGAACCAGAAATTCAGAGACAGGGCCAGAGAGATAGGACAGTGGATAGGGTGCTTGCCTTGCATGCACTTGTTAATCCCTGACATCTTTGAGCACTTGCCAGGAGTAATTATTTACTGAGTGCAGAGCCAGGAGTAACCAATGAACGCTGCCCGTTGTGTTCCCCAATACCAAACACGAAACTCCACAAACACAAAAATCCAGAGGTTCCCTGAAATGTCTGTTGCCAAGATTTTCAAATTCCCCAAAGGGGGACTGCAGATTATTTGCCAATTCTGTTTCTAAGGAGTGCAACTTGGATAAGCACAATGCCTGGGATATTAGATTAGCAAGAAGGAAGGTCTTGACTGCCTTATTAAAGAGTCATGTTCTGCTCTCAGTTTCAAACAAGTAGTAGCAATTCAGTCAAGTCTTTCCTTACTTCAGTTTCCTCTGGGCTGTTAGGAAATGTAGCTGAAGGCTATCTTTTCTCAGGAGTTGGGATTCCTGGAGAGAGAATTCAAGAACTGGAGCACAAAACCTACTTGCCCATGGTCCCAGGTTTGATCCCTGGCACACATGGTCATCACTAGAATGGCCCTGGTTGACACCAGCTGGGTCAGAACATAGAACTGTCTGTCCAGATTAGCTAAATTTTTCTCGAATTGCCGAAGGCTCCCCAAGGACTACTTTTTTAAGAATTGGTCAAGTCCAGATAGATTGCTCCATAGCTGGAAGCCTGCCTCATGAGCAAAGGGATAGAGCTGGAATAGAGAAGGGATCACTAAGAAAAAGATGGCTGGAGGAATTGGTTGGGATGGGAGATGTGTGAAGAAAGTGGATAAAGGACCAAACATGATAACCTCTCAGTGTCTGTATTGCAAATCATAATGCCCAAAAGTAGAGAGAGATTATGGGGAATCATGTCTGCCATGGAGGCAGGGGGAGGGTGGGGCAGGGGAGTATATCGGGGATATTGGTGGTGGGGAATGTGCACTGGTGGAGGGATGGGTGTTTGATCATTGTGTGATTGTAACCCAAACATGAAAGCTTGTAACTATTTCACGGTGATTCAATAAAATTAAAAAAAAAAAAAAAAGAATTGGTCAAGTCCCTCCCAGCCTCCATATAGTTGAAATTAAAAATATTCTAATATATTTTAACCCTTTTATTACTTTTATCATTTCCCTTCCTCTTTATTAGATTATTGGAGGCAAAATGAGAGTAAAAAGCAGTGAGAAGACAATTTTGAATCAAGAAATACATCATGTCTTTGATATTCTTATATCTTAGAAGTTTAGATTGTATGAGGTAGCAAACATTTTGGGAGATTTTCCACAAGGAAAGTCATCAAAAAATGTTCCAGTGATTCTCAACAAGAGTTGTAAGTGTGGGGAGAGCATTGGGAGCCAGTTATGCTCCCCAATATTCCTCCAATGCCACCTGGGGAGAGCACTGGGATTTAAAGCTGAAAAAAACAAACCAACCAGGAAGCCATTTGGAAAACTCCTGAGGATCGTCACAGGGTCGCTCTCAAGTCAGTGGAGCTTAGTGAGTTACTGGGAAAGAAAGCACATTTAATGTTCCTCATTTCTTTAATGTAATTGACTTGACTTATTAAAGGTTTTGTTACAATTGCAGTAATAGCACTGAGGACAAAGGCCATCTACCAGTTTCTTTGAGATCAACAGGACATAATGAATCAGCCAATCAATAGTGAATCACCATCAATCTCAAGATGTTACGACCTATACTTAATCTCTATCCTGTTTCTATTAATTTTGCTGTTGTTGGTTTTGAGAGCTTGTTTGGAGGTTCTAGCAGGGGAGCGCAGCTACTTGTATACCCTCGACCGAAGACCCAAGACCCGTCCGGCTCTATTCGGGGAAGGCCGTCCTCTTCGACCGAGCGTGCAGCTTCGGGAGGGATGCACATGGAGCGGTGAGGGAGGAAGGGGACACCCACCTAGCCAGCCAGATCAGCCGAATCAACCGTGGCGATCAATGGGGTGACAGATGTCGCAGCCAGATCGCCCTCACATCTGCTGTTGTT